TTGAGCTAAATCTGTTCAGCCTCAAGCAAAGGAGAGTGAGGGGGGACATGATCCAGGTCTATAAGATTCTAACAGGTTTGGATGCTGTTCAAATCTTCAGCATTAGTTCAAATACAAGAACTCGTGGCCATAGGTGGAAATTAGCGGGAGAACATTTCAAACTGGATTTAAGGAAGCACTTCTTTACACAGCGTGTAGTCAGAGTATGGAATAGTCTTCCTGATAACATAGTGCAAGCTGAATCCTTGGGTTCCTTTAAATTCTGCGATTGTTGTGGTTTGCAGCAAACGTCAAGAGTCTTTGCTCGCCTGGACTGTACACTTAAAACTTTTTAAAACTTAAAAAAGTTAACTGAATAAAAGCTTACCGAACAATGTAAATGTGGAAGATTACGTCATATGATTTGTACACATGCATAGCTACTGCTAACTTTTAGCTATTCTTGCCTGCGAGTTAGCTTGCTATGGGTCCTAAACCATTAAATACGTACATACATAGAGTCACGGGTGGGACAACTGACATAAAAAGTGTACAAACGCAATCTCTCCTCTGATATTATAGCTTACTTTTCGTTATCTGTTGATGATTAGCATCTGAACCCCTGCTACAGACTGCAATTTTCAGAATCTGACCGCAGCAATCATCTGAAGACAGGATGTGTTCACGTAGCAAAAGTGGTAGAAACGTTGCAGTGCAGGAAAGGTTCCGCATGGGGATAAAAAAAAAATAGCGACAACTGTGATGCGATGCTTGGGGTGGCCAATAGGGTGGCCAGGATTCACCGTGGGGTGGCCAATAGGGTGGCCAGGATTCACCGTGGGGTGGCCATGGCCACCCCCAGCCACCCCACAACTCCGCCCTTGATTACAGGGTATCTTTCATGCACGACATATTTGAAAAACAATGTAATGTGAGCAATTGGCATAGTGGATGAGAAGCTGGTGCCAAAAAAAGGACTCATCATCAGTAGTGTGGCAGTTGTTCAGCTGTTATCTATTGACTGGTTATTACAACTTTAATATGTAAAATAATTTTTAACTTAAGATTGTTTGAGTTGTTTTTGACAGTACATTTCAAAAATTGGGAAAAAAGATCACAGTTCAGCTTGTGGATCATGATTGTCTGTCAAAAAGATTGTGATACGATGTTTTGGGAAGTTGGCCCACCCCTATGCATGCTACATTCTGTGAAATTTGGAAATGTGTAACTGATGGGTGCAATGCTATCCCAGAAGGCCACTAAAGCTGCAAACAGAGATGAAGAATGTCACTTGTCGAGATGGGAGAGGAAGTGTTGTTTCTATACAAATTTTAGTAGAAATCAATAACCGATTATGATTCAGTACATACTGTGTGATGCTACGTTCACACCGCGAGCGTCAAAGATGCCAGCCGTCGCTCCCGCCGCCCTGAACGCTACGCTAGCCAACGCCGGAGATGCTCTCTGACGTCATAGAGTGGGCGGGGACAAGGCCGCTCAGAATGCCAGGCTCTGAGAACTTTTTAAAGGGGCCGCAAAACAAACAAACGTGTAGCTTATATTTTTGCGCCGACTCCTGATAGGACATAATTTGTCAAATAAATATTGTTGTGAGCCAGTTATTTGCNAAGTTTAATTTATATAGCACATTTAAACAGTGAAAACTGACCAAAGTGCTGTACAATGTCAAACTACAACTGCAACTAAATTTAAATAAAGACAGCAAGCATGAAATGCTAAAAGCATTACAGTAAACACAAACAAGAACTACCTGCATAGAAAGACATGGACACAGTGCAACATGATAGCATGACACAATAAAAAAAAAAAAAAAATATTACATACATAAAGAGCAAAAGCAAGGTGAAAAATAAAATTAAAAAAATAAAAACTACTGATCTCCTTCCTTTTTCACAAAAAAATATATTATGCACTTCACCATCTCACCTGGAACACCGATTGTTTCGGACACTCT